GCCTTTTTACTTTTCAGTTGTAAATTTAAAATGTATATATACCTATGTTTTCCTCAAAATGAAATAAATTATATATTCAGTTAGTTAATTATTTTAAAAACAACTTTAATGTTAAGTTTCCTCGATTTCTGCATAAAAAAGAATTTGAACTGAAATAAACTGTAATCAACCGGAATATATTGTACGTTCATAATAAAAGTGCCATTTGTCTATTACGTGCCTCGCATGTTGAGTTAAAAATAAACAAAATTAAGGTGGAAACCCTTGAATTAACTTAGCTTTTTCTGTTTCCGAAAAGGTCTTCACAAGCAATTTTCCTTTCTGAAAATTCTATTTTTTTAGAATGCAGGCTCCAATTTAAAGGAGCATACACAAGTGAAGAAATTATTTAAATTGCTTCACAATAAAAACCTAAACTGTCAATAACGACACTAGAGAAGCAATGAACTGAGTTTATTGGTAAAGCAAAAATATTTCAAAACAATTTTGCATAAGAAAGCCTACAAATTTCTTGGTACTCCGAAGAATGTTTCAAATTAAGCAGCCGTAAAAGTAAAAGATGCAGACGAAGAAAAAGGAGTGGCATTCTTGCAGTCCTGATGTGCCAAATTGAAATTGTCAATTTTTGCATTCTTATTGTTATTTCCTCCATGTTTGTTATGCAAATCTAGATTTATCTAAAATTCAAAAAAATTGCTTTTGGGTAGATTTTATTTAGCATAAGTGAGATAAGCGAAAAATTCTGTTGGATTTCTGAATATATCAATTTTTTTCAGAACTTCTTCTGGAAGTGATTTTTTTGAAATTCATTTTAATGATGAATATTAAATAACTAGAGAAACAATCCACTTTGATTAGAAGGGTATGGATAGATGTTTTACAGTTGAAATATAAAAATATATAAATAAAGAGAGAAGTGACACATCGAACAGTGAAATTAAGGTCTTTATAAAAGTTTATCAATACTCGCTTCTATATAGACTTCTATAGATATATATTTCAGCACAATGTTAGATTATGTGCCACATCGAAACTTATTAAATCTCATTTCTTTTAATATATACAATAAAAACGAAAATCCTGAACATTATTAATATGATAAAAATGCCATCAAAATAAAACAATTAAAATAAAAAATATATAAATAAATGAATTGATGAACAACATGAAGATAAGAAGATTAAAGCTAGACAATCTGCAAGTAGAGCTAATGATAAAACGAGTGGGAAGCATAAGAAGCATAAGAACTCAATAAAGACCTCAGAATAATGCGCAACAAGACACACAGCAAAATATAAGTCTTAAAATGAACTCAGGAACAGGTAAACCTCGAAAAACACGATTCTTGTAGAACACGGCATTGAAGAATATGGATATATGTTGCCCGAATTATATGGTTACTCATATGTGATCCACGTGTAATTCTTTTGAAAATGTGAAATTTATTAATAAAAATAATTTTTCTTTAATTTTACCCTTGAAGCAAAATTCCGTTTCTGTAGTCTCGAACAACGCGGTGTCAAAGAGCGTGGAAACAATTCTGTTTTTCGGTGCGATACATCCAATCTCAGGCTCTCTCTACTAATCAGATAGCCAAAAATTCAATACCATTGAGTGTAATAATATAATTTTATTTGATATTCTTTATGGCATCATTTTTACTCAATTAAGAAAAGTAATTTCATCATAAATTCTTCTATCTCTCTTGTCCTTTTCAAACAGTTATCCTTTCTATTCCCATTTGAAGTGCATTTAAAAAGCATTTGTGGTTTTATGTTTTATTATCAAAAAAAAAAAAATAAATTACCGCTAATAAATAAAATATCGACAAGAAAATACGAAAAAGATTCAAATAAATACATAATGCCAAATTGTTATAAATTCCCGACACGATTTATTTTGATGCATAAATAAAATGCATTAGTTGCTTTTATTTGTAGCCATAAAAGCACCCAAAAGTCTTTTAATATGACATTTGGTACCTTTGCCCTCAGTGGGCGCGAGCAATTTGAAAACATTTCATTATTGCGGGGCAACAAATGCGGGCACTACGTATATAAAATATCACCACGCTACCACCATTTGGCCACTTTTAAGCTTTCCACACTTTCATTTTCATTCATATTGTATGTTATGTCTGCAAATAATCTTTCCTGCTTTATTTTTCTCTTAATTTTATTTTATAAATTCCTTACACGTGCAAAAAAACTTACAGGATTCGTGGCTGTGCCGGAACTACCAACACCAAATGAAATCAACACGTTACTTCTCAGATAGGCAACATTTATTGGTGTATATGTGAGTTCCTTTGCAGCACTACAGAAATGCCTAGTGTACTGCTTACAGTGTACCGTGAAGATGTAGCAAGTTGTGTATGCAGGTAGTTAGATTGTCTATAAAGTTTGTACTGACTTAGCGCCTTAAAGTATACAATAAAAATTTTGTTTTCATTTTAAAACACTGCGCGTATTCGTTAAGGTTATTTAAAGGAAGTAGCGGTTAAATGGAAACATACAACTTAGACTATTACTTTAAGTAATGATGTCTATTTGCTTATATAAATTTTATATAAAAAATTTGTTATAAACTGAACTTTGCATCCCTTAGCGCGCAATACTCATTACCTTTTAACTTATAAGAAATTACACCACTGTAACCTCTGGTCTGAGCTATTACCACTTATTTTATTATTTTAACAGGCTTTTAACGAACACTAGAACACTAAAAATAACTTTTTTTATCATATTTTTCTACCTTAAACCAACCTCTGTCTATGTTTATGTTACTCATAGTTATATTTGGTTTGTTATTTTTGCAATTGCTTCGAGTGTTAGGAATGCTTCAACTTTTTCAGTGCCTTAAGTCTGACAATAATTAAAAGTTCACAAATTACCCAAACTGTTAGCTACGCACAGGTACTGGGTGTTGGTACTTTAGCATACACACAAGCCCATATTTATAAATAGGCGAGAAATGTTAATATTTTTATTACATCACTTCAAAGCCTTACCGACCGATGCTGTTTATAGTTTATATGTGAGTATGCTTGTATCTGGTTTACATCCCAATTGCTCAGGGGTGATAATAATGTAATCTTTTCCTTACTGTTGTAATTGTTAAGATTGTGTATCTGCAGCTTTGCGATATCTACTCAAAGAAAAAGCCAAAAAAGTTTGCAGTCATATTTGAAAGTTCAAAGCAGTTTAGGGTTTTCATTTTCTGAAAACTTTTCACTCTTCAGCGTGAATTAGAGTTTTTAAAGTAGATTTTAACTTAGCTTTGATACGTTTTTTATTGCCATGATTGTTCTTTAATTAGCTTGGAATGAATTTGTTAAGGGAATTTTGTGTTTGGTGTAATGAAACTTTTTTTAAATCCGTATGAAGTCTTGAAAAATGCCATTTGAAGTATATAAAAAATGATTTCATGTATTTTTGTGTATACAATACAATACAAAAATTTAAACGCATAAAATCATAATAGCGAAGTTTCGAAAAGTAATCAACTACAACAACAAAAATTCTTTTTATATTATTTTAATTAACTGAATTTTTGTCTGACCATACGAGTATTGTTGTTGTTGTTGTTGTTGTTGTGATTTGAGTTACTGCTATTGCGCACTTTTACTCCTTTGTGGCTGGAGGGCTTATTCCTGCCCCACACTAAACCTTAACTATACTAGAATTATTATTTGATGACGGACCGTAGATCAGCATATCTTCCTGTGCGTCCTGAGGTGGACTTACGGTTTGTTAAGGCAGTGTTGGGCAATGTATCAACTTTTGTGAATAATTTTAGGGCTCTGTCCTTGATATATTTTTTCGCTATATATATATATTTATTGGTTCAATTTAATCCAATATTTTTTGTCATCTATCTGACCGTATCATTATTTCCACACTGGTAAAAATTTTTTTAATTGTTGCCGAAAAACTTTTGCAGGTAATTTCTAACCTTTTTAGAGCAGGTTCGGTTGGAGTGTCTAAGAAAGCCCATTTGTGCTCAAAAATTAACCACTTGTGGTAACACAGTCATAGCGTTGGTACGTACAGATGAGATTTAGAGAGTTTTCTTTCCATTCTCAGAACCACAGCTGCGACTTTATAGGGTAGACCCAGTCTGCCAGTCTGACCCTATATGCCTCCCTATTATACATTGGTCCGTCAGCACCGATACCGGAGTGCTGAGCAGGTTCCGCCTTAGTTGAAGTAGTTGACTGGTACGTTTTTTATCCAATTTCGATCAGGTCGACCTAGAGATCTGTTTTCTAAAAGTTTTACCTACTAAAAAATATTATAATGCTCGAAAAATATAATAATCGGATGTAACCACATCTGAAGAATATGGTGGGACCAGATTGACCTAGAGATCTGTCCTTCTTATTTGAAGCAAAAATTTTATCCACTAAAAAATATTATAAAGACTGAAACATATAATAATCGATTAGCACCAGATCTGAAGTATATAATACGACCAGAATATGATGGGTCTGATAGTATATACCATGCAAACTGTAAGTGCTTTTTAGCATATAACCAAACTTGTGTGAGATGTTGTAATATATTAGTGGAATATTTGACCTTTTGTATTAATCAGTTCTGGTTTTATCTGTTAAAGTGAATCACTCAATTTATCCAAATGATGACAGTAGACTTCTAAATTAATCATTATATTAATATTTTAAAAGTTAAAAACAAAAAGAAATGATTCCTTTGCTAAGTCACAGTTATTTCCGTAAAAATCTTGACATATATTTAAACCATCGAATAGAAACGGTTTCATATCGCTGCTATTTCAAAATCATCTTATAACCGATGATGCTAAACACATTGGAAGCCCAGATCAGGCTTTTACTCCGAAAAAAAACTGATAATATTTGGTCGTATATACAAATAACAAAATATTTATTCATATAAATTCCTATAACTATAAATTTATAAAACTGTAGAAAAATATAAAAAGAAAAACTTAAATGATCGATACAGAAATTAATGAAGATTTTATGGGTACTTCTTTGATGCGTAGGAATGATAGCTATATTTAGGGCGAGGATATGCTGAAAGTCCATCACAGTTTGTACAGCATCTGTATATGGGTCTATTACGCCACTTACGACAATAACGACGATAGCAACGTCGTCGTGGTGTTGTACTTTTAGGCAGTTGTTGAGTAGTTGAAGTTGTTGGTGTAGGTGTTGGTGTTGATGTCGACGTTGATGTTGTCGGCGTTGGAGTAGAGGTCGTCGGTGTTGGAGTGGAAGTTGTTGGTGTAGTAGGAGTTGGAGTTGAGGTTGATGTAGTTGGTGTAGTTGGCGTTGGTGTTGGAGTTGAAGTTGAAGTTGAAGTTGATGTGGTTGGTGTTGGAGTTGGAGTTGAAGTTGTTGGTGTAGTTGGTGTTGGAGTTGAAGTTGTTGGTGTAGTTGGTGTTGGAGTTGAAGTTGATGTAGAAGGTGTGGTTGGTGTTGGAGTAGAAGTAGTTGATGTTGAAGTTGAAGTTGAAGTTGATGTTGATGTTGAAGTTGATGTTGACGTCGTTGGTGTTGGAGTTGAAGTTGTCGGCCTTTGTGTTGTTGTAGTTGGTTTTCGTGTTGGTTTCCGTGTAGGTCTCCGTGTTGGTCTTCTTGTTGGTCTTCGTGTTGGTTTTCGAGTTGGCTTACGAGTTGGCTTTGGAGTACTCGTTGTTGGCTTACGAGTTGGCTTTCGCGTAGTCGTTGTTGGCTTACGAGTTGGCTTTCGCGTAGTTGTTGTTGGCTTTCGTGTAGTCGTTGTTGGCTTTCGCGTAGTCGTTGTTGGCTTACGAGTTGGCTTTCGCGTAGTTGTTGTTGGCTTTCGTGTAGTCGTTGTTGGCTTTCGCGTAGTCGTAGTTGGCTTACGTGTCGGTTTTCTAGTTGACGTGGTTGGCTTATGTGTTGGTTTTCTTGTTGATGTAGTTGGCTTTTTTGTTGTAGTTTTTCGTGACTTACACTTAATTTTTTGTATGACTTTACTAGCTATGTTTAGATCAATAATTGCTTGTTGATCAAGTTTAACACCAGTAAGTTGTTTAGCATTACCCTCCATTATAAGTTCTTTTTCTTCTACAATCACAATTAAATATACTGTAATTTAGAAATCTTGCTGTGTTAATATTTACTTACGTTCTTGCTTAGTTATTTCAACATTTTCAACACAATCGTCGTCTTCATGCCCTGGTTTTGGAGGTTTAGAAGGATCTGGATTTATAAAGTCTATAATTTGTTTTGCTTCATTTACTACATTCGCTTTTAACATAATTTGTGGTCCAATTTCAGCTGGAGTTATTACATGGGCTCCTTCTTTTAATGTTTTAGTCTTTTTTACTAAAAATTTATATACTTTGTACTAGATTCTAAAAATATTGCATATTATGTTAACATTACTTTTTTGACTTGCTACTTCTTTGTTTTTAATACCGCCAGGTCCTGAATCCTTCTGATTATCAGTGTTAGCAACATCTGTGTCTATCAAA